TACTCCCAACCTCTCGCGCCAGTGCTGCGTGAAGGGCGCTCTAGAGGCCGTGGGGACCTCCCTGGGAATCTGGGGGAAAACCTTGGGCCCAGGACTCCCTTCGGCAACCCCCGAGGGGAGCGGGCAGCCACGCTTTTCGCCGACGGACTTCGCCAGACCCATCGCGCGCCGCAGCCACACCGGCGGATGGCGCGCGCGCGACGAGCAAAAGCACGCGACGTAAGAGCCAGCGCGCGGCCTGCGTCGCGCAGGTTCTCAGGCGGCTGCTCAGCGGGAAACATCGCGTCGCTCCCAGGCCTCCAGCATCTCGGAAAAAAAACACCGGATGTGCTTCGCCAATGTTTGGCCTCCAGGTCCGCTTCTGGGCCCAAGGACCGTCAAGCAGCAAAGGCTCAGGATAAAAAGGCCGCCCCTGGATGAGGTAGAGAGATCCGGGGGCTGGCGACTTGAACAGATCGACGATCGGCTACACTTAAGAGTGACCCTTGGCAAGAGCGACCTTTTGCGGGATCTTTGGAGCGCGACTTTCGGGGGCAGCGGGGGGGGCATATCCGAGCGCTCAACCCGCTCCGAGCAGTACTGGGGCGATTCTTGTGGGCCCGCACCACAGGTCACTTCCACGAAGGGTCACCCGTAGGTGCAGCCCAGATGAGTCCTCCGCGGTCAGGGGGCACCCCCGTTCTTGCATGGGAAGCGATGCCCCCCTGGAATGGCACGCCTTCGCTCGCTGCGCGGGCTCCCGAGGCAAAATGAGCTCAAGAGGCCACGCAGGGGCCGAGAATAGGATCGCCACGCCCTCTTCCAACACCGCGGGTGCGCAGCGGCAGGCCCATTCCACAACAGCGTGGGCTTTAGCCGTCTGTGCCACCGCGTGAATACTTCGATACGGCGCAGGCGGTATGGTGGTATGTCTGTTCATGAGCGAACATGTCACCCGGACCCCAGTCCCGTCACACAACGGGCACGCCAAACAAACGTGCTCATATTAAGCATCAGGACCTGGCAAAGCTTGGCTATCTAAGAGACACTTGACACCGAAGGGCCATACCAAACCCCACACATAGCCGCCATAGCTCACGGATCACACATGATGATGATGATGATGATGATGATGATGATGATGATGATGATGATGATGATGATGATGATGATGATGATGATGATGACGACGAAGAAGATGACGATGACGATGACGCTGATGCTGATGCTGATGATAATGATAACGATGATGATGGTGATGATGATGGTGGTAATTGTGGTAGTAGCAGGGATGGTGTTGACGATGATGATGGTGGTGGTGGTGATGGTCATAATGGTGGTGGTAGTAATGATGTTATTAATGATACTGAATTGTTTAGGACATGATGATGCTGATGCTAATGATGTTGATGTTGATGTTGATGCTGCTGCTGATGATGGTGGTGATGATGATGATGATGCTGCTATTGCTATTGCTGATGTTGCTGCTGCTGATGGTGTTGATGTTGATGTTGATGTTGTGCATGATGATGCTGATGGTGATGGTGATGCTGATGCTGCTGCTGCTGCTGATGCTCATGATGATGATGATGCTGCTGATGATGATGAGTATCACTAGTATCATGTGGCGTTGTCGGGGAGCTGGACGGGGGAAGCACACACTGAGCTAACCCACGTCCTGAAAACCCTCGACCTGCGGAGAGGCCACCGGGGGACCGCGCTGCAGCCGCGCCGAGCCTACGCGAGCCTGCACCGTGCCGGGCGCCTCGCGCCTTCAGTTTGTACACTCTCCCGCTGGGAGTGCAGGGAGCAGAGAGAACCGGCGCCACCACCGCCGCGAGGAGCTACAGTCGGACTTGGATTGGGGAGGACACGCGAGAGGACAACAGACCCCTTCCGAGGGGCGCGCTGCCGTAGGAATGTAGGAGGCATGGGTCGCGAGACACAGGACACAAGGGTACCCTTGACTTGGCAGGGTCGACCTACAAATCAGGGCCGACTGTAGGGGAGGACGCACTGACCAGGGTCAGTCCAAACCTGTGTCGGCCAAGGCCCTGTCGCGAAGCCCGGCCGGGCACGAGGAGGCTCCCCAACCCCGATCAGCCGGAGTGTGAGGGGGCGGGGTAGGCTCCAGGTGGCCATCCAGAATCCAGAGAGTCTCGGAGGGGATTGGCTGACCCCCGTTGGCGCTGGCCCCCGTCACCGCAGCGCCGAAAGCAAAGGGGCGCTCCAAACAAATGTGCGTATAAATATATATATATATATACATATACATATACATATGCCCCAGATCCACGGATCGGAGAAGGGGCCCCCAGAAACATGGCGCCAATGCCGCCTCCTCTGGCGAGCGGAACGCGGGACCCGTCGCTAATCCACGCACCCGAATCCGCGCTGGCGCTTCCGTGGCGGTGGCACGGCCCCCCCCCTTTGCTCTGCGGCGCCCCCCTCGAGGCGGCTCCAGTCTCCAGCTCGGGGAGACGCCGTGGACCCACTCGCGAGAGGTGGCCCGCTGGTGGTGCCGTCGCTTCCCCTCCCTCCGAGGGAGGGAGGCGGGGGCGCATGCTCCCGACGCAGGCGCACTGAGGCATGCCCGCTTCTCAGAGGCGCGGGCGGGAGGGGCGCCCGGCCGCAGACGGCGCGCTAGGGTGCCGTCAGCCAGTCCTCCACCACCTGCCGCGCATGGACGGGGCGGCAGCGCCAGGAACACGCAGAGGTGAGGTCGTGACCACGACGGCACGATAGGGAACGGCGAGCAGTGCCAGGGCACGCGGAGCGAGTCCCAGCTCATGTCCTACGCATCCTCCTGCTTCTCCTTCCGTTCCCCTTCCTCTTCGCTCCCCCTTCCTCCTCGCTCATCATGCCTCGCTCCCTCTCACTCCAACAGCCCCATCCACCTCTTCCTCGACCTCCTTCCTCTCCTCTTCCTTCTCGTCCTTCTCCTCCTCCTAATCCTCCTCCTCCTCCTAATCCTCCTCCTCCTCCCCCATCCACATCCCCCATCCACCCTCCTGCTCTCCTGCCTCTTCCTACCTATGGCATCTCCTTTCTCCTGCCTCCGCCTTCATCTTCCTGTCCCTCTCTCTCCCCACTCCCCATCATCCTTCGTCTCCCTGATCCTCGCCTCTCATACCCCCGCTCCTTACCCCCCTCTGCCATTGCCCAATGCAAGTGCTACTACGTTTCCCTCTCCCCTGCAAGCTGTTGTCTTGCGATGAGTCATGCGATGCAATGCGATGCGATGTTTCGGTCGGACCGTATTCGGCATGGCCTTGCCTGTTCGGCGACGTCGAATGGTGTCGTTTGCGAAGGGTGCGATCTGCAACCCGCACCCTCTAGGGCGGGCGAGGACCTCTGCAGAGTTTCCCGCCGCGCCCCGAGGAAACCCGACGAGGGCAACGCGGTGCCCCAAGCCCCAACGACGCGGATCGCACAGCACCCCCCCCCAGCGCAACCACACCCAGTGCAGTCGCCGACCTGTGACCTCCCACGCGGGGCGTCTTCGGCCGTTCTCAAGACGGAGTTGCAAGAACATCCACAGAATTACCGAACCTTCCTCTGCCCTCCTCCCGGGTGGGGCGACGAGACCTGCATGGCTTCACCGCCCCTGGCCACCCCCGTCCTGGGCCAGATGTTAGGTCGGGCATGTCCTCCTACAATACGAAATATTTAAAAGCAGTAGAAACATCGTCCCCGGACTATTTTTCACTGTTTGTGAACATTCCTCCTGTAGAGGGACAGGCCCGACTCAAACCAAAACGCGACGCGTGCGCCCCCCCCGCCCGGCTGGGGCAGGGGAGGGTACGTCACACCGCTCCTGGGCCTGGGATGGGCCTTGCCCAGTAAGAGGCGGCCAGGGGGTCTGAACCGAGAGGGGCCCCAAAGCGTCGGCATCCCCCAAAAATAATCGGCTCCTGGGCCCCTCCCGGGGGTCCATCTGGTGCTCTCTTTCCCCCCAAATTCGGGGATGGACAGACCTCCCTTTCGTAAAACGTGGTTTGGTGAAAACGATCCGAGGCCCAAAGCTGGCGGGCGCAAGCATGGAAAATAACGGCCACGGCGCCCTCTCGAGAACCGAAAACGGACAATTCACTAATCGACGTGTCACTGCTGGGGGCTCTGTCCAACCCCGACAAACCTGCTCTTCACGGGCCCCGGGCCCCTGCTGGAGACAGAAGAGGGCCACGAGCCTCCCCGGGCACCTCGAGCCTGCCCGCCCCCGCTGCCCGCCCCCACCACGGAACCTCACGGGCTTCGCGCTGCGCGAAGCGCGACGTGCGCAGAACTTCGCGCTCTCGCGCCGCCTCCCAGGGGAGAAGAGGAGGATGAGGAGGAATCGGAGCCGAACCGCGAAGCGCGAATAACTTCGCGCCCTCGAGGGCGCCCTTGCTCCGACATCCGGAGGGCAGAGGGCGTCAGCAGCGAGTCGTTGAATCAAATGGGTCGACACGTGCATCGGACCGGAACGAGGACGGAATCGGATCGGAACGGCCAAGCGAGGACGCACGACAGAGCCATGCAACCATCGCTCCGCATCTGGTCGCTGGAAAGCTGGAATCGAATCGGAGCAGGTCGTTCGAAATAGGTGGTTCGAAATCTATGCATCGAACCAGATCGATCGAATCAAGGTACACACCATCGGCGACGGGTGGGCCCCTACATCGACGATGAATGGGCGATCGGGGGCCGACGCACTCCATAAAAACAAAGAGGTGAGAAGAAAACGAATGGAATAACAACATAATAATAATTACTAATGCAATTAATCATAATAAACATAAAACCAATACTATTGGTTATCATAACAACAGTAATGATGATGCTGATCATAACACTAGAAACAGCAAGTATCGCAATAATCATACGAATGACCATGCATTCAACAAAAAAAACAAATGCTAACGACAATAAAATCAATACCAACAATAGCAATACCAATAATAATACGAGAAAATATTAACGGAGATCAAATCACTTCCGAAGGTCCCGGCGGATGTCTTGGCAGCTTGGATCGGTGCCGGACACCCCATCCCGGGCGCGGAGCGCGCAAAACGGCGGCGCAGAGGCGCCGGCATAGGGGTCCAGCGCCGATCCAAGAAATCCACGCGGACCTTGTCTCAGGTCGAGCGTGTCCCCCTACAGGCGGATTTTGGAAAAATGCTCCAACAAAAATACCCCCCAAAATGGTTAAAACAAAAAAAAACAAACAAACAACACAAAAAAACAATCTCCCCAGACTACTGTTTGACTATTTTTGAATATTCCCCCTGTAGAGGGACACGCCCGACTTAAACCTTGTCCAGAGTGTGTTGCTGCGGTTGTTTTTTCTTCGACTCCCCCCTGAGCTGGATCGGGCCGGGCGAAAGGGGGGGACGGCAAAGGGGGGGTTGAGATTCAGCTCGCATAGCTAGTTTCCCAGCGCCTCCGGGCGCCCGAGACGGCTATGTATCGAAGAATGGGACCCTCGATGGGGCTGAAACCAGCTGCATGCAGCAAGTTTCGTTACCCCCCCCTTTCCCAAACCCCCCCTTTCGTCCGGCCCGACTGGAGCATTCGGGGGACTAGCTCAGGGGAAAAAACATTGAGCTGGAATCGACGATCCTTCTCCATTAGATTGGCGAAAGACCCGATATCAAAACCTCATGGTCCTTGGCAGGTCTATTGGGCCCCTGTAGGCGATCAATGGGTGACTGGGGGTCGATGCGTCCCCCCCTGAGCCTATCCCCACCTGACGTTGCTCTGGTTTTTGGACCATAGCTCGGCTCTCCGGCGGCCGTTCGGGATGATCCTGGCACCCTCAGACGCCTTTCGACGAGGCGCAGCTGCTGGAACGCATCCCGAGGCTGGAAAGCCGCCGCGAACATACGAAAACATGCCTAAAGACCTAGAACCTCGAACCCCCCTCCCGAACCTCGAACCCCTCCAGACCCCGACCCTCGACGTTGCCCCTCACCCATCCCATCCCCCCCTTGATGTGGACCCCCCCCCGAGACGTCCTTTGGCTTTCGGCCCATAACTCGGGTCTCAAACAGCCGTTCCGGACGTGTCCGGCATCCCAGGAACGCCCTCGACGAGGCACAGCTGATGCAAACCACCCTGGGCCCCGAACACGTCCAAAAACATACGGAGACCTCCAAACACATCCCAAGGACCACCCCCTGACGTTTCGGTGGCAACTCAGTGGAGCCTCCCATAATTACCATCTTGCTAGCTCGGGCAAGTCGACGCTAATCGACGCTAAAGCATGCAACCGAAGCCGAGTCCACGCTAATCGACGCTGAATCGGCGCTTCCTCGTCGATTACCATACGCTAGCACACGCTAGTGCACTCTGAAGGCGGAACTGCGAGGACACACGAGGCTCGCGGCTCTTATGATTTACTACCAAATCACGCAGCCCTCGAGACCTGGTCACTGCGGCGGGCACCGGCCGCGCGGGCCTCCTCCATCCCGCAGCCCACACCGTCGGCCTGCAGCAAGTTCCCGCCGGCGTCCTCCACCTGCTGTCGCGAAGAAGCGCGGGCGGGAACACGCGCTGGGCAAAGCCACCTGGGAAAATCCGGGCAATTCCACCAGGGCAGATTTATTCCTCCGTGCGAATTCACCAGCGCAAAGAACACGTCAATGTCACCCGAAGGGGAAGGAAGAACACTGAACGGAACGAAACGAAGCAAAAGGAGAGGAACATGAGACACCCCAGACACCCAGGCCCAAGCCCTCCCAAACATCCCACCAGCACCAGCAGACACCTGACGCACCACGTCCACCCCTGACACCCCAACACCCCAAACGCTCCCAGGCACCCCCCGACCACTACGAGCACAACCAGGCACCCCCAAACACCCCACGCATACCATGCATCCCGAGCACCAAGGCAACAGGGACCCCCAGATGCATGAACGCGACAGAACACAAGCAACCTCCTAAGCACCACAAGCATCTGCAGGCACCACCAGACACCCCGCGCCTGGACACCACAGATATCCCAGGCTTGAGTAAGTCAGAGAAGTCCCTCGGCGGACTTCCTCGAACATGATCGACCCACGAACCCGGATAGGGATTGAGAACTGCGAGGCATGAACATTTTCCAAGGACCTCAATTGCATATGCAATTGGGCGATGCCTTGGGGACATGCCAGGGGAACGAGCCGCGGAACGTCCCCAAGGACGCGCCAAGGGACGTGCCAGGGGACGTGCCATTGGGACGCACCGCGAGACGTGCCAAGGGGACGCGCTACGGAACGTGCCAATGGTCGTGCCACGGGACGTGCCAGGGGACGCGCCGCGCGACGTGCCAGGGGGACTCGCCACATGACGTGCCAAGGGACTAGAACCGACATACTCGAACGAAATGTCGCAGCTCAGAGCGCTGCTAGCAAAACATAGCACATCGACATCGATCTGGCTCAACTCCCGGGATGGTACTCTGTTTTTAGACACCCGAGATAGAAGTGCATACCGCCCTTCCATCTTCAGCATCGGATTGGCTATAGCTCATCCAGGTGGCTGGCTTCGCACAACACATAGCTATAAGCTATATGTCTGCACCTCTGTGCAAAAAAAAACATGGATCGTGTTGGCAAGGCGCGATATGATATGAAATATTTCTCGACACGTGAACAGGGACTGAACAAGACCATCGGCCAGGACGTTCCAAGTGAGCACGGTGAAGGGCTCGAAAAGCGTCGCTCCCGCTGGCACCGGGGCTACGTGAACTAGGAAGCAAGACCGTGTATCAACCCCGAGTGCAACCTGGGCTTGCACCACTCGAACCACAATGGCTTGAGCCGAAATGGCTACGGACGGGCACAGGACGGGGAAGAGGTGGCAGATGCGCAGGAGGATGAGCAGGAGGAAAAGGAGGAGGACGAGGGAGGAGGAGATGAGATGGACGAGGACGGACAGCAGCAGCAGGAGCTGGAGTGAAAGGAGCGGAAGCAGGAGCTCCTCCCCAACTTCGAGGGCCATCCCCGCCACGCACCCCCGCGATTTTGCCCGCTGGCGCGGACCCGAAGGCTCTCGCAGATACGCCACGAACATTTACATACAAACACCCGCCGACGAGTTAGGGAGGGTGGTGGTGTATAAAATCGATGGTGCGAAATAAAGAGGAGGCCTGAGAACAACCCACTGGAAGGTGCCAATGTATTTTCTTGTGTGGCGCAGCGGAGCGGGGCGTCACTCGGCCGGGCACTCCCTCTTCCTGCCCTTCGCCTTGCGCCCCCTGTCGCCGCGCTGCCTCTTGGCCGGCGCCGGCTCGCAGGCAGAGGCGTCCTCCGCCCCGCCCGCGTCGGCGCCCGCGGCGGCGCCCGCAGACGGGCGGCGGGTTTCGGCCTCGCCCGCGCTAGCCGCGCCGCCGGCCGCCGGCGCGGCCGCCGCGGCGGCGCCGGCTGGCGCCGCCCCGGCCAGCAGCGCCATGAGATGCGGCCGCTCGGGCGCGGCGGCCCCGGGTGCGGCAGCGCCAGGCGTGGCGGCGCGGCGCGGCGGCGCGCGGGGCGCGGGCTGCTGGCCGAAAGCGGTGGGCAGCACGCCGCTCAGCGAGGCGCCGGCCAGCGGTGTGCGCGGCGGCGCACTGGGCGGCGTGAGGGCGGCCGCCCACACCTTGACGGTGGAATCTGCCGAGCCCGTGACGAGCGTGCCCTCGTGGAATCTGGCGCACATCACCGGCCCGCGGTGGCCAGTCAGCGCGCACGACACGGACTCGTCTGTCAGATCCCACATGCACACCCGGCCGTCCTCGGAGCCGCTGACCACGTAGGCGTTGCTGGGGTCCAGGGTGCTCTGCAACTTGAATTTCAAATTTGTGTGCCCCCGGAACCGGGCCAGCTCGCCACCAGTGTCTCGGTCGATCAGGCGAACGCTGCTGTCCAGCGTCGAGGCGATTACGCACGCCCGGTCGCTAGAATAGGACACGCTGCCGATTGGCTGCAGCAGCTTGTCGGTCACCAGCAGCCCCATGCGCACGTCGTACCGCCGCAACGAGCCGTCCACGCTTCCAGTGGCGATCTCGTCGCCCGCCGCGCACACACACAACACCGCGTCCGTGGCGTCGCTGAGGACCTGGATCGGCCGCCGCTCACGGGTCCGCAGATCCCATATGCGCACGGACTTGTCAGCGGAGGCGCTGAGCAAGACCGCCTCGTCGGGGCCGTGGGCCAGGGCGTTGACCCTCCTGTCGTGGCCCACGAACTTTCGGATCACGTTGCCCGAGGTGACGTCCCACTGAAAAAAGTCCTTGTCTCCGCCACACGAGACGAACTTGGCGTTGTCCTCGGCGATGACAACATCCAGCACCTCGTGGTTGTGAGGGCCCTTGTAGGTCTTCACGTGGATGCCCCGGTCGGGGTTCCAGAGCCTCAAGCTCTTGCCAGGTGGTCGGTTAGCCACCCTCAGGGCCATGGGGAGCACAGGAAAAAACACATTGGCATCATACCCCAGGGATCTTAGCACAATACGTTGTTTCTGGGCTGCGGGCAAGACTCATGTTCACATCCACGGCGTTTGGGAATTGTTAAAGAGGATGCAGACGACACCCGGGGCGCAACAGGAGGTATGGATGACAGTCTGGCCACGTCGGAGGCCTGATGTTGTCTAGAGGCCTCCCAAATGGGATCCGAGTAGATGAGGTCGGAGGATCGCGCCACATCGGCGATGCATGGGCGATGCATCGGCCATGCACTGGCGACGTCAGCGATGCATCTGCGACGTCGACGTGAAGCAAATCGGGCTCCACGTAAAGCCGCATCGGGGATGCATCGGCGGTGCGGCGCGATCCTCAGACCCAGTCTACTCCGACCCCCTTTGGGAGGCCTAGATTGTCCGTGTCCACTCCCATCGGGAGGAGGAGGAGGAGGAGGAGGAGGAGGAGGAGGAGGAGGAGGAGGGGGAGGAAGAGGAGGGGGAGGAGGGGGAGGGGGGCCGAACACACGAGACGCAGTGGAGGTGTACAGAGACCTGGCCAACATGGGCCTCTCTGGCTGCCCCATTGGAGCCCCGTGGCGCGGCCGGCCGGCCACGGCCATTGTCGTGGGAGGCGCTCATGATGTACCGGCCATTCTTGGTCCACGCCACGCTCGTCACCACCGCCGTGTGCCCCTCCAACGTGTGCCTCGGCCCCCAGTAGCTCCCCTCCCCTCCCCCTCCCCCTCCCCATCACCACCACCACCACCACCAATAACACCGTCATCATCACCCACCTGCGGCAAGTTCGTGTCGTGACGACTTGGGGAGTTGGCTTCTGGAACCGTGTGGATCCTTCAACCTTGAACGGTCGGCGGCCTTTTTATCGCCAGATCGTTGCATACTGGTCGATTCTGGGCCGCTGATGGCGTTCAGCCTTGAACGCCCGCGGCGGGATCCAAACGAAGCAAAAACCAGGGACGTTCCTTAATTTGTTGAAGCTTTGGGCGGTGTCGCACTTTCGGGCTTTCGACAACCCAAGGTCTCCCGAGAAGCCTCTTGCGAGAACCCGAAGATGACCCCAAGACGGCCGAAGAGGGCCGCGAGATTGCCCAGGAGGACGAGAAGACGGCCCAGGGGGGCCCAAACACACGAAGAGACCTCCAAGATGGCCCTCCAGCGCCCTAGGAGGGCCCCAAGATGGCCTAGAGAGGTCCCAAAGACGGCCTCAGAAGGCGTCAGACAAGCCAAAATCGCCATAAGACGGCCCAAGGGGGCCCAGAGGAGGCTCCGAATATGCATGCGCCCAATAGGCCACATAGAGTCCCCCAAGAGTGCTCCAAGAGTCCCCTAGGAGGCCCCCAAGGAACCCCAAGAAGGTCCCAATCAGACCAAAGGGATCCCCGTTTCTTTATACATAAATCCTCGCTGTCGCACCCCCAGACGTGTTGGTAGGGTGGGCCGGGCGATTCGACTGAGACCTCCTCACTATTTATAGACCTGAAACTTGAATTTGCAGCAGCCGCAAGGACGCAGGGAGGCACGATTCCAAATTGTGGCTCTTTCCTTCGAGCCGCACACGCTCGCCTTCAAACTTTGCAGCAATTTCAAGAATGCAGGGCGGGTCCTTTTCAAAAGGTGGTTCTCACCTTAACGCCGCGCACATAAATTGTAAGAATTTGCACGTCACACGGGTTCGTATGGTCGAAGTCCCAGGAATGGCATTCTGGCAAAACTACGATTGTCAAGCCCTGGCAATCACGTGGACTTGCGGTGTTCAAATCCCAGGGATGGCATTCTGGCACGATTCAAGGCTGCCTGGACGCAACGTCAACTTGATTCCTGGTGTTGGAATCCCAGGAATGGTGTTGGCCCGACCGATTGAGGAATCTCAGACGGTTGTCTTCCAATGGGGCACTTCCCGTAATCAAAATGCATTTCTGTGGGGGCGTACGAAGAGCGAACGTGGAGGGAAAGTTTATTGCAACACCGTTGATGCGTCTTGGGTTTACGCTGGTCTTCTTCCTCCTCCTCCTCCTCCTCCTCCTCCTCTCCTCCTCCTCCTCCTCCTCCTCCTCCTCCTCCTCGCCGGTCGGTGTGTCGCACTAAAGACTGAGTGGTCAGCAGCCTCTCCCAAGGAAGTGACAGCTCAGAAGGGGACGCCAAGGGACACCAGGAGCCAACCGCCAACTCCCATGCCCACCCCCAGAAAGACACACCCTCTTCCCCTCGGTGAGGATATACGGGCGAGGTCGAGCGAGGCAGCTCCCAGATGACCTCGCACCGCTCCCTGGCACCACACGCCGAGGGGCACTCCTGCGTGACCTCCTCCACCACGGGGGCCCTTCCTCCTCCTCCTCCTCCTCCTCCTCCTCCTCCTCCTCCTCCTCCTCCTCCTCCTCCTCCTCCTCCCCCTGCTGCTGCTGCTGCTGCTGCTGCTGCTGCTGCTGCTGCTGCTGCTGCTGCTAACGGCTGGGAGAGACGATGTCTGTCGCCGTGCTGCTCACCTTTCCTGCCCCTCCACCACGGCAAGAACCTGGGTGAGAAGGGGGGCTCATCAGGGAAAAGGTGATGAATCATGGATAAAAAAAGGCTCCTCCTTCTCCTCCTCCTCCTCCTCCTCCTCCTCCTCCTCCCCCTCCTCCTCCCCCTCCTCCCACGACATGGAGGACGGCCGCACACGTGCTGGCCCGTCTCCCGAGGGATGACACGGCCACGCCATCCCCGCGGGGCTCTCCCCGCACAGCCCCCGAAGCCGCAGAAGCGGAGGGGCGAGCGGCAGAGGGCCCCGGCCGCGCGGAGCGCTGCGCTCGGGGGGCCGGGGGAGAGGGGGTGGGCCAGCAGGCTGCGGCTGGGCTTAAGTCGGGCGTGTCCCCCTACAGGGGGACTTTCGACGCAAAAAAAAAAGTTGTCAAAACATACTCCAAAATGGCCAAACCATAGTCACGAAATAGTCCCCAGACGATTGTTTGACTACTTTTGAATGTTCCTCCTGTAGAGGGACAGGCCCGACTTAAGGCTAGGCGCAGGTGGGGCCCTCTCTCCTCCAGGCGGATTTCGGAGGAAAAGTACAAGCTAGTCAGACAACTACTCAGGCATAGACATCGTCTCCATGTTTGACTGCTCCTCCTGTAGAGGGGCATGCCCGACGTAAAGTTAGGCGGCGGCGGGGGGGGGGTCGCGTATCCGCACCAGCTCTCACAAGCAGTTCGATGGAGCCTCCGGACGACTCAGCATGGCCACACGACGGCCAAGGATGGCGTCCAGACGGCAAAATACAGTTGCGCAGCGATAGTTCCTTTCAAATGTCATAGGGTAGTGGAGAGGTCGACATGATGATGACGACGTCAGTCCCCCTCCCATCGAATCCTTGCGAGAACGGCCGTTGGAGCTGCGCCCATCGGCATGATACTTAAAACCCTTAGGCCGCATGGCTCAATTATATTATGAGTTCGGTCCGGATCCGAGATTGCCCACCCCGTTCTTCAAATGCAACACAAATATCCCAACGCATCATATGCCAACCTCAATGTCCCATTATGTTTGAACGCACGCAACAACTATCCCACATCATCCAATACTCTCGCGACTTCGGCCTGGGTTGGCTTCCGCTTGTTGCATAGAAGATTAAAATTTCGTCGCGGAGAATCATGGCCTCAGGACGGCCAACTATGGCCTCAAGACGACCCGAGATGGAGTCAAGACCTCCGAAGAGACACTCTATACGGCCTAAGAGAGCTTCACAAGAAGGCCCCAGACGCCCCGAGACATGCCACACTAGCACTTTTCCATTCTAGCTTCCCGATGGGGGGGTCCGCCATAGCCTCCTCTCTGCGGGCTCAAGTGACGCTATTACTAACAGCTGTGGGCGCGTTTCCCTCAGTTGCGGTCAGGATCACGAGTGGTGAACGTATCCATGTCAACGCTCTCGCGGTCTGGATTTCGGAGCGCGATCCCACGTACACGCGGCCGGACAGATGCGGTCCGCGCGGGACATTCGCAAAAGAAAGCCATATATCCGTGGGATCGCGGCCCAAGGGCCCAGCATGCGCTGGGCCGCGGATACTGATACAGTAGGTGTCCGACCAAAAGAAACCTTCCACAAGAAACCCAACCCTACGATCCAAGGACGTCCATCGATGTTTGGTGTGGGAACGTCAGGTCTTACATAGCAAAACCATTGAACCCCAAGAAACCCAGGGCACCCTGGAGGCAAGAAGGGTGTTTCTTGGCATGTGTGCTTTCCGCCCCCGACAGGAAGCAGGGCAACTACTAAGACCGCCTTTGGAAGGCACCATCGATACACTGACGACGCTGTTGGGCGGGCCAACCCTGGGCCCAGCACCAGGGGTCCACAGTGGAGGCTAATCCACAAGAAACCTTGCACAAGAAACCTAACCCTGAGACCAGAGGACATCCTTGGATTCTTGGCGCGGTCACGCCTTCCACAGCAAAGCCAGCGAAACCCGAGAAACCCAGAGCACCCTGGAGGCAAGCAGGGCGTCTCTTGGCATGGGCCTCCACTGTGTGCGACGGCGCCATGCCCAGGATCGCCCCGGCCAGGACCAGTGCCCGTGCGCGGGCGACGCCACCCGGGCATTCGATCCCCGTGGGTAGCGGAAGGAAACGATGCCAAGGACACGCAAATAAATACACACAGACAACAGGATCCCTCAAATTGGTTCATTTTTTTTTCTTTCGATTTTCGTCTCCCCCCCCACTTCCCATATTTCCCAAGGGTCCGCGCATTTTCTGCATCTTCGCTGAACCCCCCCTCCCTGGCGCGCGAAGCGCACCAGGAGTGGCGCCAGGAGCGGCGCCAGAGGCGTCACCGGGAGGGCCGGCCCAGACCTGCTCCGACTGCGGAGGCCCCCCAAATTGGGTCCGAATGGATGGGGTCGGGGGGGATCGTCGCCGCATTGCCGCTGCATCGGCGACGTCTGCGTGGCGAAAATCTCACTCCACATCGAGCCGCATCGCCGATGCATCGGCGATGCGGCGCGATCCTCCGACCCCATCTGCTCGGACCCCATGTGTCGACGTCGGCGATGGGAGGCGGGGGCCTCAGCTCGCACTCGGGCGGCGCCGAGGCTGCGATGGGAGACATTGCGGGCAGGCCGCCAGCGCTACCGGGGGGTGCGCCGCTGGGCCAGGCTGGCTGCGTGGCTAGAAGTAGGTCGGGCATGTCCCCCTACAGGCGGATTTTGGACGAAAATTTTAAAATGGTGAACAAAAATGCTCGAACACGGCCAAACAACTACTCAAAACATAGTCCCCAGACTATTGTTCTACTATGTTTGAACAGATTCCTCCTGTGGAGGGACTGGGCTAGAAGGCCTGCTGCCTTGAGAGCCTGGAGTCCGATTCTTGCGCGAGCCCGCCGCTGCCGCCCGGTTTCGGGCCCCGGGGACCTCACAGATCGATCCGGCTCGAAAACAGGAGCAGAAAGTCGGGCCGGACGAAGGGGGGGGATTGGGGAAGGGGGGGGTTACGAAATTTGCTGCATGCAGCTGGATTCGGCCTCACCGAGGGGCCCATTCCTCGATACATAGCCGCCTCCGGCGCTGGGAAACGGCGGGAAAATCAGCTATGTGAGCTGATTCTCAAACCCCTCCCCTTTGCT